GAAGGGTGTTTCCCCCTGGCAGTGCCTTAGCTACCCTCACTCTGGCCCACACCCTAACTGACCCTGGACCTGCTGTGGCCCTCAGCCACTTCCTGCAGATCTGAGAGAGGAAACTGGAGAGGGAGCAGATCACAGATGGGTGCAGAGGATGATCTCACAGGAAACCAGACAAGCTGGAGTTGCCACCACACCTTGGACTTGGGGAAGCTGGTCCCTACACTGACTGCTACCTCCTCCACAATCCTTGCAGGCTTAGTGATGGGTCTTTCCCTGTGGGATGGGGAATTCTGCATCACCACACCCAGGGCACGCAGGGCAGTCCTTAGGGAATGTTCTGGGAAGGGCAATGTCAGCTCTGGAGCCAACCACAGGGGCCCTAGTTTGAATGTTTCTTGTCCCCCAAAGGATTGGTCCTCAGTGTGGTCCTAGGATGTTCAGAGACAGAGCCTTAGCTGCCCTCACTCTGGCCCACTCTGACCCTGGACCTCAGGAAGGAAGCTCTGAAGGGTATTGTCCTACTCAAATCTCCAAAGGCTTCCAGTAGCCTAAACCAGGAATCAAGCTCAGATAACCACAGTGTGTGTTTCTGTCTCTGTTTTGGAAACACATGTCTTCTAAGCTGTTTTATTTCTTGGCTTTTAAGAAGACATAGGGCACAGTGCTACAAGTACCATGATAAATGGCATCAGACTCTCGGCCTCTGCTGGGGAGGCAGCTAGGATGCAGGAGGGACTGTGGGGGAACTGGAGAGCCCGTGCCTTTTCATTGCTGGGGTTCCAGCACATTATTGCCATGTGGAAATACAGGTCTAATGTTAACAGATCTTCTGATTTTCCAGAAGAAACCAGAAATCAGGATTTTTATGACATGGTATACTCCATTTTTAACATAAGAAATAATTCTGATCTTTGAAAAAGCACCCTGTGAATCATCCTCTCACACTGCTAGTGGGTGTCTACACTGGCACAATCTCTAAAGATAGAAATTGGACATTAGCTGTTAAAGCTACAAATGTAATGCTCTAAGTTGGCACTCCTACTCTGAGTATGTTTCCTGCAGAAACACCTGCACTGTGCAATATAATGTGTACAAAAAATTTAGTGCAGCACTGTTTGCAATAGCAAAAAATTTGAACTAATCTAAATGTATACCTATAGGGTCTTGGTTAAACAGATTCCATTTGTGAAAGAATATTATATAGCTGTGAAAAAAGAATGAGGGGGGGCCGGGGATTTAGCTCAGTGGTTCCACCACCTGCCTCGCAAGCGCAAGGTCCCGAGTTCAATCCCCGGCACCAAAAAAAAAAAAAAAAAAGGGAAGGGCCAGGGATTTAGCTCAGTGGTGCCACCACCTGCCTCAGAAGCACAAGGTTCCAAGTTCGATCCCTGGTACCAAAAAAAAAAAGAATGAGGGGTTTCTTAATTGGACATCTATGGCACAAGTGATAAAAACAAATGGAGAAATTGGGCTTCATCAAAATTAAAAACTCAAAAAACCCCAAAAACTTGTGTACAAAGGAAGATGTTATAAAGAAAGTGAAAAGACAACCCAAGGAAGAAAAATAAATATTTGTAAATCATGTATATGATCAGGGACTTATATAACCAGAATACATAAAGAATTCAACAATAAAACTAGGCAAATAACCCAATTAAAAATGGACAAAGAAGCTGGATACAGTGGCCCATGCCTGCAATCTCAGCTACCGGGGGCTGAGGTGAGAGGATAGAAAGTTTGAGGCCAGCCTGAGCAACCTAGCAAGAAGCCTGTTGCAAAAAAAAAAAAAAAAGGACAAAGCATTTGAATAGACATTTCCCCCACAAAAGGCCATTTGGCCAATAAGTACTTGAAAAGATGCTCAACATTCTTAGTCATTGGGAAAATGCAAATCAAAACCACAAGTGCCGCAGGCATATTGGCACAGGTCTGTAACACCAGCTACTTGGGAGGCTGGGGCAGCAAGTTTGAGGCCAGCCCAGGCAATTTAGCAAGTCCTGTCTCAAAATTTAAAAAAGGGTCATGTATATGGCTCAGTACTAGAGCAAATGTGTAGCATATACAAGGCCCTGGCTTCAATCCCTAGCCCTGAAAAACAAAGCATCAAAAACCCCTACAATGACATAATACTTCACACCTACTAGACTATAATTAATAAAAAGAGGAAAATAAAAGGTGTTGGTGAGGATGTGGAGAACCTGATGAGAGTGATTAATAAATATTAAATATTCTGTGAGAGTGTAAAATGGTGCAGCTGCTGAGGAAAACAGCTTGACACTTCCTCAAAAATTAACCATATAGTTATCATGAGGCAGGAATTCCATCCCTCAGTATATACCCAGGAAAACTGAAAACATATGTCCATGCAAAAACTTGTACATTATTTATAAAGAAAAAAAAGAAAAAAAGAAACAACCTAAATGTACATCAACTGATGAACGAAACAGAAAATCATTCAGCAGAAAAAAAGAATGGAGGGGCTGGGAATTTAGCTCAGTGGTTCTGCTGCCTGCCTTGCAAGAGCAAGGTCCCGAGTTCGATCCCTAGTACCAAAGGAAAAAAAAAAAAAAGGAATGGAATACTGTTACATAATGCAACATGGATGAACCTTTAAAACTCAATGCTAAGTGAAAGATGCCAGATACAAAAGGTCACATATATGATTCCATTTACAGTACATGCCATGTCCAGAATAGGTAAATACATGTTGATTTCCATTTTTTTTTTTTTTTTGGTACCAGGGATCGAACTCAGGTCCTTGCGCTTGCGCAGCAGGCGGCGAAACCACTGAGCCAAATCCCCGGCCCTACATGTTGATTTCTAATGGGTTTCTTTTTGGGGTAATAAAAATGTCCTAAAATTAGGCAGTGGCAATGGTTGCCCAACCCTGTGAATGTAGTAAAGAACACAGAACTGTACATTATAAAATAGTGAGTTTTAGGGTTTGAAATATATCTCAAAAAACTGTTTTTTTTTCCTTTGGTACTGGACATCGAACTTGGGACCTTGTGCTTGCGAGGCAGGCGCTGGAACCACTGAGCTAAATCCCCTGCCCAAAAAACTGTTATTTTTAAAGGGGTGGAGAGGCAAGGGACCTGTCCAGTTATTGACATGGGACAATCTTCAGGGAAACTGTGTATGTGACCTTTTGTACACAAAAGGGAGGTGTGTAGGACTATGTACTACACTTGAATTGCTTTTTTCTAGTGGTCACCAGGGGGTGGAATCACAGTTTTCTACTTTTTAGAATTTTTGAACCTTAAGAATGCATTATTCAGTAATTTTTTTTTCTTAAAGAAGTGGTCGCTTGTGTCACATACAACTGAGAGCTCAGTAAAGCAAGGATGAAGGATTTCTATTGGGTTTGACTCTAATTGGATAACTGATGCCTTTTCCAGGACAGAATCAGGGTCTAGTGGGGGCAGAATCAAAGTAGGTCATGGTAGATTGAAAAGTAAACAGTAATCAAGGAGTTTTCTTGGCAGGAATGTTGACTTATATGCAATGTATACACCAAGCCTAGATTAAGTATTTGCAAAATATTTAAAAGTTATAGAGTTTGCTAATAACTTCTGGTATCTTACATTTTATTCTTGGATCAGACAGGACCACCAGACAGATGTCTACTTGGTCCCCTAAAATTTTTTTTTAATGTGTCCTGCTTTTGTATGCCCTCTGCTTACAGACAGTGGATCCTTGTACAGCACATATTTCAGAGTTAGGGAAGATTGTCTACTTTATTACCTGAAGGAAGGCCATCAAAGAAACACTGTTGGGAAAAAAATGCGCATTTCCCATGAGTGTGATTTATTAATGTTCTGTGCAAATTATGCAAGACAATTTTGCTTTTGTTATGCTGTCAGGTAAATCAGAAACACTTTTATAGTTCAACCTTAATTCAGTTGGTCAATAGAATCATTACATGTCTAAATACTAAACATATTATTTATTCTGGAACTTATCTAATACTCATAACTATTTCTACTCACGTTGATTTTTTAAAAAACAAGACTACTCTTCTATTTTATTGCACAGATCCCCATAAGCCTCTTAAGATTCAGTCAAAAACAACAACAGTCTCAAAAACAATCACAAAAGACCACACCACCACCACTAATAAGCCCTGTCAGTACTGGAAAAAATAAAGGACTTCTGGAAGGCTGGTAATGTTTGGGTTCTCCTACCCTCTTTGGTACTGGGAATTGAACCAGGGACGTTCAACCACTGAGCTACATCCCTAGCCCTTTTTAATTTTAAATTTTATTATTTATTTATTTATTTATTTTTGGTACCGGCGATCGAACTGAGAACCTTGTGCTTGCGAGGCAGGAGGCGGAACCACTGAGCTAAATCCTCGGCCGTAATTTTCATATTTATTTATTTAGAGACAGGGTCTATTTAGCCAGGCTGACCTCAAACTCGCAGGGACCCTTCGGCCTCAGTCTTAAGAGTAGCTTTGTTTCTCTATCTGAATGCCATACACAAGGGGCTAGGGCAGCGGGGGGTAGGGGGTGGGGTAGGGCGTCTCAATAGTAGAATGCTTGCCTAGCACTCGCGAAGCCCAGAACAACAAAAAAAGAAAGAACAAAAAAAAAAAAGAAAGAAAAAAGAAAGAAAGAAAGAAAAGGCGGCTGAATGCAATGCATAGGTTTGTGAAAATTTACAGACATGTGGAACTTTCTGTATAGTTTAGTAAAAAGCAAAGAACAAGAGAAAGAGTGGAGAATGTAAACAAAAGTGCAGGTTTACCAAAATTCATTTCTGGCCTGGATCCACCCTTGGGTCTTTAGTTTGCAATTTAAAGACTAAATGGTCAATGTGGCACTCAGACTCTATTGGGATCCACTGCTGTCTCCCTCTTCCATTCACTGGTCATTCAGGGCAAAGGAAGAACCTGTAGACAACTTGTTTGTCTTCTTCTCAGCCTATACACGTTTTTTTGTTTTTTGGGTTTTTTTTGTGGGGGTTTTTTGGGTACCGGGCATCGAACTCAGGACCTTGCGCTTGCAAGGCAGGCGGCGGCACCACACGGCTAAATCCCTGGCCCGGCCTACATACACTTTCAAAAAACTGCAGGGCCTTTCTTTGTCATTTCACCTGGTGGGAACCCAGAAATCTTTGGACTTCCAATTCCAAAACCACTATTTACAGCCCTACTCCAGCTCCCTGCTGAAAACCTTTTCGCCCAGAGCACACAACCCACTACGTCTACTTAGCCTGCTTGGCACTGGGCCGTAGAGAGACAGTTGCTATATGAATGAGTAAACTATGGAATTCTGCCCAAAGCGCTGTTATCACCCAAGAGAGCAACCTGCGGCGAGAACAGGAACACGCCGAGGATAGGAAACCAGGAGCAGAGGTTTGCCGCAAGCTGTGTGGAAAGGACCATCCATCAGTGGCGGCTTCAGTACGGGCGCTCTGGAATCCAGGAGGACTGGGATCTCTGTGGTTGGACCAGACTGGTCACTCTCTACTGAGGATGACGCACTCTCAGAATTCCCAGGACAGAGAAAGTGGGAAGCACAATCTCCCGGACGATGACTGATAAAATAAGGAGGAATCAAAAGAAGGGGGATTTCGGGAGCTGGCTGCCGAGATAACACTCCTGGGCATTTCTGCCCAACAGAAACACAGGCTAGTCCCTGAGCTCAAGGCGATTGGCCTGGGGAAATAGAGCTGATAGGCGGGAGCGCGTGCGCATACGTGCAGGGGCGTTGCTCTCTAGTCACCCGGCTCCCCAAGCTGCCGGCGCGCATGCGTCGGAGGACAGAGCCAGGCGAGAAGTACCTCTGCGAAGCTTTAAGCACCCTTTGGGCGGCTCCCACCGGCGAGCGGGACAGCGGCGGGCGCGCGCGGGTAGGTGGAGGCGTGGCTTTACTGACCCCTGGGCTTGGATTGGGTACAGCAAATTGAAGGGGTGGAACCTCCGCGGAGGCCGGTCAGCGATTGGCCAGAGACTGGAGGGAGCGTGATCTTCGGGGACGGGGTAGGACGGGGCGGGGGTGAGACATACTGGGCAGTGCGCCACGCTGAGGTGGTGGCCCCGGTCCCTAACCAAGTAAGCGGGCGAGTCTTGAAAGCCCCCCCCGCCCCCCGCTAAGGACAGGAGGCCGGCGAGCCCAGGGACCTCCAAAGCGCCGAGGAGGCGTGGGGGCTAGGCGCCATTCGGTGAGTGTGGTCCGGAGGACGCCCCACTGCCCCGCCCCTCCCTTTCTTCCTGGACCGCGCTGCGCAGCGCCCTCCCCCATCTCGGACCCGGGCTTCAGCTCAGGGTTCCGACTCCCGGGATGTCTGCTGCATGCCTGGCGCTGTCTTTCGCCCCCTACGCAGCATCGGTCGGTTTAGGGAATTTGGAGATTCTCTGGTTCCGCTCCCCAGCCCGCGGAGGGGAAACTGAGGCCCAAGGGGGCGGGCCCCTCCTCACCAGCGTCTCCACACAGACACCATGGCCGAGCCTTTAAAGGAGGAAGATGGCGAGGACGGCTCTGGGGAGCCCCCCGGCTCGGTGAAGGCAGAACCCGCCCACACCACTGCCTCTGTCGCTGCCAAGAATCTGGCCCTTCTCAAAGCCCGCTCCTTTGATGTGACCTTTGACGTGGGGGACGAGTACGAGATCATTGAGACCATAGGCAATGGGGCCTATGGGGTGGTGTCCTCTGCGCGCCGCCGCCTCACGGGTGAGCTTCTTGAGACTCTCACAGATGTGGAAACTGCTTCCCAGAGAGGGTGAGGAACCTGCCCCGACTCAGCCAGCGGTGAAGCAAAGCTGGACTGTGCATTCTGATTCAATTCAGCTCTTACTGATAAGCACCAGGCCCCCAGTTAGGCACCATTCTCAGGTTTGGCCATCCTATCACCCTACTCCCTCCTTAGAAAAATGACAGCCCTGGTTAGACCAGAACCGAGCTGGCCCTGAGGTATTCTAGAGCCAGAGACTGACACAAGGGTCTGGTGGTGGGATGGGTGAGATCTGAGATGGAGAGCGAGTATAGGGGAGGAGAATGAACACAGGCATTAGAGTCAAGACTACCACTAAGGAGCTGTGCAACCCCCAACAAGTGACTGAGCCAGGTTTATTCACCTATAATTGAGCTATTATTAGTACTTGCCTTGCTTGGCTCATATGGTAGCTGCCATTATTTACGTCCTAGAAGTGAGTGTTGAAAAGATCCTGCAGTTACATCAAGGTACCCTCTGGTATCTGCCTTTTCCCTGTTCCCCAGGCCAGCAGGTGGCCATCAAGAAGATCCCAAATGCTTTTGATGTGGTGACCAATGCCAAACGGACTCTCAGGGAGCTGAAGATCCTCAAACACTTCAAGCATGACAATATCATTGCCATCAAGGACATCCTGAGGCCTACTGTGCCCTATGGAGAGTTCAAATCTGTGTAAGGAGCAGCATGGGAGAGGGAGGCATAGTTAGAATCATTTTGGAAGGCCAGGGCCATGTTTCTAAGTTCTGGAAGGGCAGCTGTATCTAATGTGAGGTAGACTGGGAAAATCACCACAATTCCAGACTAGTGCTTCTTTAGGGAGACGACCAAGACAGCTATTATTTCTCAAGATGAGTACAGGTATAACAGTTTTATAAAATCTGAGTATGTACACTGGCAGACATAGGACATTCATCCTACCACTGTACCATCTTATTGTCATAGCAGACATCATTAATTGATTACAGAATACTTATAGAAAATGGACTAGCATGGGCCGGGGATTTAGCTCAGTGGTTTTGCTGCCTGCTGCGCAAGCTCAAGGTCCCGAGTTCGATCCCTGGTACCAAAAAAAAAAAAAATGGACCAGCCTTCACAATTTTTATCATAGTCCTTTAAGCAGGCACTACCACTTCTCTCGTTCTTTTCTTCCCCAAGATGCTGAACTCCAGCATCTGTTCTCCCAATCCCAGAGAGGCTGATTTACTACTGCTCACCACTCTGCCATCTTCCCAGAAGTCTCCTAAGCAGCCACTGTCAAACAATGGAGTTACTTCCGAAACTATACCTGTTGGCCATTCCTGGTATAGTTGAACCCCATCTGTTAGGGAAACTAGATCTGGGGGAAAGTAACTCAATCCAGTTCATGGAAAGGATGTAGAGAATCTAGAATTGGTGCTCTTCTTCCATACCCTGCCCTCAGGCCTTTGAGGTCCCAGGGTAATCCCATTACCTGTCTACAGTCAGGAGTCCATGGTAAGAATGGGGCTTGTGCCTGTAATATGGTTAGTTCAACCCATACCTCTCATTTCCAGCTATGTGGTCTTGGACCTGATGGAGAGCGACCTACACCAGATCATCCACTCCTCACAGCCGCTCACACTGGAGCATGTGCGTTACTTCCTGTATCAGCTGCTGCGGGGCCTCAAGTACATGCACTCAGCTCAGGTCATCCACCGTGACCTCAAGCCCTCCAACCTGTTGGTGAATGAGAACTGTGAGCTCAAGATTGGTGACTTTGGTATGGCCCGTGGCCTGTGTACCTCCCCAGCTGAGCACCAGTACTTCATGACTGAGTATGTGGCTACTCGCTGGTACCGTGCCCCAGAGCTTATGCTCTCCTTGCATGAGTACACCCAGGCTATTGACCTCTGGTCTGTGGGTTGCATCTTTGGTGAAATGTTGGCCCGGCGCCAGCTCTTCCCAGGCAAAAACTATGTGCATCAATTACAATTGATCATGATGGTGCTGGGTACCCCGTCACCAGCTGTGATTCAGGCTGTAGGGGCTGAAAGAGTGCGGGCCTATATCCAGAGCCTCCCGCCACGCCAGCCTGTTCCCTGGGAGACAGTCTACCCAGGTGCTGACCACCAGGCCCTCTCACTACTGGGCCGCATGCTGTGTTTTGAACCCAGTGCCCGCATCTCAGCAGCTGCTGCCCTTCGTCACCCTTTCCTGGCCAAGTATCATGACCCTGATGATGAACCTGATTGTGCCCCACCCTTTGACTTTGCCTTTGACCGTGAAGCCCTTACCCGAGAGCGCATTAAGGAAGCCATTGTGGCTGAGATTGAGGACTTCCACGCACGACGTGAGGGTATTCGCCAACAGATCCGCTTCCAGCCTTCCCTGCAGCCTGTGGCTAGTGAGCCTGGCTGTCCAGATGTTGAGATGCCCAGTCCCTGGGCTCCCAGTGCGGACTGTGCCATGGAGTCGCCCCCCCCAGCCCCCCCACCGTGTGCAGGTCCTACACCTGATCCCATTGATCTGACTCTTCAGCCACCTCCACCAGCCAGTGAGCCTGCCCAACCAAAGAGAGAGGGTGCCATCTCAGACAACACCAAGGCAGCTCTGAAAGCCACCTTACTCAAGTCCTTGCGCAGCCGACTCAGAGGTACTTTGGTTCAGCAGCTGTCTGGGGACTGGGGTGTTAGAGGGGCCCTCTGGCTCAAACAGGACTGTAGGCTCTCACTTTTCTCCTGCCTGACTTCCTGCAGATGGCCCCAGTGTACCTCTGGAGGCTCCTGAGCCTCGGAAACCTGTGACAGCCCAGGATCGCCAACGAGAGCGGGAGGAAAAGCGCCGGAGGCGCCAAGAGCGAGCCAAGGAGCGAGAGAAGCGGCGACAGGAGCGGGAACGCAAGGAGCGGGGGGCTGGGACCTTGGGGGGCCCCTCCACTGATCCCCTGGCTGGACTGGTGCTTAGTGACAATGATCGAAGCCTGCTGGAGCGCTGGACTCGCATGGCCCGGCCCTCCATCCCACCTCCAGCTCCAGCCCTAGCCCCAGCACCAACTCCATCCCCAGCCCAGCCCACCAGTCCTCCCCCTGGTCCCCCACCACAACTTGCAAACTCCACCCCTACTCCTGCACCCCAGCCTGCTTGTCCAACCCCTGCTCCCCACCCTGCTGGCCCTCCTGGACCCATCTCTGTCCCTGCATCACTCCAGACTGCCACCTCTACTAGCCTTCTGGCCCCCAAGTCACTTGTGCCAGCCTCTGGGTTGCCTGGCCCCAGCACCGCAGTTCTGCCTTACTTCCCATCTGGTCCACCCCCTCCAGACCCTGGGGGGCCCCCTCAGCCTTCCACATCAGAGTCACCCGATGTCAACTTGGTGACCCAGCAGTTGTCTAAGTCACAGGTAAGAGAGACCCAGACCATGGCAACACCTGCACCTGGGCCCATGGGTTTGGAAGTTGTTGTTCTATGAGAACTGAGCAGCAGATGGGGCTTTCTCTCTGAACTTGTCCCTTTGCTCATAGAGCACAAAACCAATGAAGAGGTTGTCAGGGACAAACAGTATACTGCACGGGAAGTACCTGGCTTATAAGTGGCCCCCAGCTGGCACTCAGTGATCAGTGAAACTGGTGTTGATCCTCAGGGATATCTAGGCAGAGTAGTCAGCAGCATTAGGCCAGGAGTGTTATGCCCTTGCTGACAGTTGTATTGTAACTAACTTGCCATTGTCCCCTACAGGTGGAAGATCCCCTTCCCCCTGTGTTCTCAGGCACACCAAAGGGCAGTGGGGCTGGCTATGGTGTTGGCTTTGACCTGGAGGAATTCTTAAACCAGTCTTTCGACATGGGTGTGGCTGACGGGCCACAGGATGGGTAAGATGGCTGGACTGAGCTCTTGGAATGGGAGTGTGGGGAAGGGTTTCTGGTGCAGAAAGAGCTTGCTAGTGAGATGGCTGCCAAGCTGGCCTAGGCTAGCAGCACCCCTCTCTCCCCCTTCCCTGACTCCCTTTTTCTGCAGCCAGGCAGACTCGGCCTCACTCTCAGCCTCCCTACTTGCTGACTGGCTTGAGGGCCATGGCATGAACCCTGCCGACATTGAGTCTCTGCAGCGTGAGATCCAGATGGATTCCCCGATGCTGCTGTCTGACCTGCCTGACCTCCAGGAGCCCTAAGGCCCGCAGCCAGTGCCTTGCTTCCAGGGCAGACCCAGTTCCAAGGTCCATGGGAGCATTCCTGGGGTCTGGCTCCTGGGCCCAACAGGTGAGGCTCAGCTTGGATTATTCTGCAGGTTCATCTCAGACCCACCCTTCAGCCTTAAGCAGCCACCTGAGCCACTGCCGAGCCATGACAGGATTGGGAGACCCTGACTCCCTCTGAATAATCCTTTTCAGTATTGTATTTTTATTATTATTATAATATTATGCAGTCTTTTTGCCATCAAAATGAAGCCTGTGAAATACAAGGTTCCCTTTAATGCCTAAGTCCAGGTGTCATTTTTAGTGAGGGAATGGATGGAGTGGGGGAGGTGGTGGTGGTTAGGGACAGGTATAAGGAGGAGCCAGGTACCCACATTTGGGGGCCAAGCAAATACGTTGTGTGCTGCACAAAGCCACTTCATTCAGGTCCTGAAGGTTTATTGAGACCTCCACTCCCCACACGCTCCCAGCCCCATAGCTTGTTCTCTGTCCCTCACATGACCAAACCTCAATCCCTGGGGCAGGTGGGGGACCTCATTCCCATGCCTACCTTGCCTGTAGCTGTTTCAGGGTGTCTTGCAGTAGCTGTGGTGAATACTGTTTTGGCATTGAGATTTGGGGAGCTGGGATAGGCTGGGGGAGGATGTGGAGTATGGTGGTGAGGTGGGGCTGAGGGTCCACAGTGCTCACCATAAGGAGTAAGTTGGTGAAAAGGAGGACAAAGATGGGAGGTGGTCTAAGAATGGACAGGAGTGCTGGAGTGCAGTGGCTTCCCAAGTGGCCTGGAATACACTGTGGGTCCTAGTGAAACTGCATTGCTCAGTCTGGGGTGCCCCAGACAGAGAGGTCCACAGTGAGGAAGCTGGCTAAGGTGGGACACAAACACCCATGCCTGGAGGGTGGGTCCTGACTCTCAGCTGTGGGGACGGGCTGGAGGCTTAGAAATGGTCACCCTACGTGTGTGACAGGGATCAGCAAAGGCTGAGAGTTGCAAGGCTGCCTGAAAAGCTGGTGTGCAGGGAGCAGCAGAAACATCATATTGGGCCCGGAGGGGAGAGGAATACTCATGGAGATGCAGAAAGCCAGGGAAGGGGTGGAGCGGGACAGGGCCAGCCTCTCAGGCCCGGCGGATTTTCATCTCAGTGCGCTTAAGGGAGTAGTAGAAGCCCTTCCACTGGGCCCAGTTGATGCCATTGGCATAGGAGAGATGGGAGCCACCCAGGTAGAAGCCATTTAGGTTGGCAAAGTGACAGCTGCGAAACCAGAACGCTCCTGAGGAGAGGGCTGCGCAGTTCTGCACGAAGAGGTCCTGGTCCCGGTCAAAGGTGGAGAACTTCTGACCACTGTGGTAGGTCAAGGAATCACCTGGCAAAGGGAGGAAGGATGGGGCTGCTGAGGCACGTCACTGATCCCTGTGCTGGGAGGGAGAGGTTGATGGCAATGACAAGTGACAGTGTAAGGGAAATCAAGTGAAGTGGCATCCTGGTGGGATGGGGGCACCCTTCCTGAGTTAGATGTTTGTTGGATAGATGGGCGTCTGCAGTGAAGAGAAACAGCTGCTCCTTCACAGGGTTGCCTTGGAGCAGGGCCAGGGCAGCTGCTCTCAGGGCCGAGACAGGAGCTGGCTGGGGCTGGTTTGGATCCAGCTGTAGCTCTGCCTAGGCCAAGAGGGATGAAAGAGGGACCTCAAGGGCGTCACGGGCTCACCAGGCAGGGCCAACCCTGCCTCTTCCCCCACTGCCCTGCTGAAGCTAGCTGGAGGGGATACCTGCCCCGCCGTCCTCGAATCCTGCCACGTAGAGTGTGTAGCCATCTTCCTCGGCACTGACTGCATTGGGGGAGATGGAGAAGTCAACATACTTGGCATATGCTGTGTTGTTCTCAAAGTCCTCCAGGTCTACTCGAAGTTCGTACTTCTGCTTCAGTGTCAGGAGGTGCAGGTTCTGCAGCCCTGGGGACGAAGGGAGCTGGTCAGCAGAGACCTGGCTGTGAGGCAGCCCCTAGCCCTCCTGGCCCCTGCCTTACCCAGCCAGTATTCCCCGTCTGCACGGCCGAAGCCCAGCTTGTAGTCATTCCAGCCCCGGAAGAAACTCACTGAGCCATTGAATCTCTTCTGGAAGACCTGGAGCCAAGAGAACAGGAAACTGTTCAGTCAAGGATCCAGCGGGTACAGGCCCTACCCTACTGACCCATCTAAGCATGAACCTTTTGTTACTAAGGCTGGCTTGTTAAAGAAAAGAGTGAGAGTTGGAGAGGTTGCTAAAAGAAGGTACACACTGCTGCCAGGTCCCCCATTGAGCAGCTACTACGTGCAACCACCTGAGCTCTTCACTAGCTCCCACTCAGAGGCAAGGACAGAGGAAAGGAAAGAGGTGAAGAGGGGCTGTTTGGGGCCGAGGATGTAGTTCAGAGGTAGACTGGCTTGCCTACTGTGCAGGAGGCTTCTGGGTTCCCCAGAAGCACAAAGCAAAAACTCAAAAGGACTCTACAGTTCAAGTGGCTAGATGTGAATCCTGGTACTGGCTCTGTGACCACAGGCAAGTTACTTCAGGGTCACACATTAACCTACATTAAGTACTTAGAATAACTAAGAAAATGCCTTGGGTAAAAGCACACTCATTTTAAACTGAAAAACTGAGGTTCATAGAAGTGAAGCTCAGGGTCACACAGCTAGGAGTAAACCGGATCTGGCCTCTCCTTCCACTCACCGTCCACTTGCCGCCCTCAGTGGTCATGTCGCAGAAGACAGGCACTGGCACGCTGGGACCCGAGGGGTAGATGAGGTACACACCATCTGCCTGGTAGCCCTGGGCATAGATGTCATCACAGTCCAGGGGCTGCTGAAGGCAAGACTTCTCTAGAGCTGGGGGTGGGAGTGTGGGGACAGTAAGGAGAGGGAGACTAAGACACCCCACAGTTAGTCTCAGTCCCCGGGACCAGGGAACTCTCCTCAGAAAGCGTGAGGTTTCTTTGAGGGGAGCTGCTCAGAGATCATTTCATCACTCTCACTTTGTGGCCTGTACACCCTCTCTTTGCACAGTCTGTGGGACAGGCCTGTCTGTGAACGTGGGGCTGCTTACCATCTCCTCGGATCCCAGTGGCTTGGGGGCTGCAGAGAGGTGTTGAGAGAAGTAGCAGCAGCGGCAGGGCCAGGAGGGCCTAGTGACAGGAAACAGGATCAGTGAAGCCCCCAGCCCCAGGGATGCCCGTTCTTTCTGCATTTGCTCCATTGTATATGCTGCCCTGGCCTGAAACCTTTTCATGTCCTTTGGCCCCTCTTTTCCCTCCCTAGTAACCCTACTTCCTGGACAAAGCCCAACACCCTTGGAGCTTTAGTCTGGAGAATGCCTATGCTTTCATAGTACCCCTGTGGGGAAGTGGCTTCTCCACAGGTGCTCTTAACTTCCTAAGCCAGGAGCTCCCCACGGTGGGCCCAGTACCTTCATGCTGTCGGTTCGGCTCAGAGCGGCTGGTTGTCTGAGGCCCCAGACTGCAACCGCCCAGAGTTATGTGCTGGGCCCTTGGCCAGCCGCCTCAGCCCCGCCTGCCTCTGGAGCTGTAGAACCCCCCTCTCCACACACGACCAGTGTCAGCTTACATTATTAGGGGCCAGGGGACACCTGGGTCTCATTAGGTCTGTCGGCAAAGTGCTCCAGACTAGACGTTAACTCCCTGCTGTCCTGATTGCTGCCTGGATCCCACTCTGCCATCCGCCCTGCTGGACTTGTGGGCCCCTGGCACCCCTAACTGGCCCCAGCCTACCTCTGCTTCCTGACAGCCTCCCTGCAGAGGCCTGTTTATTCTCTCCCTCCTGTCCTGGCCTGTGCTTCATCAGCCATTCAGGGGAGGTCTGTGAAGGCAGGGCTGGATGTAGGTACCCGTGCATCTTAGGGAGGGGGACCACTGAGGGAATGGAAGGCAGGGGGCAGCTTCAGCACTCCTGATGTGGGAGCCTGCCCGGGCTGGTGGTGGGGGACAGGGGCAGCAGGGGCCAGGCCGTCTCCTGGCAGGACTAGGACATTTCTGAGCCATGAGCACAAAGCTGCAGGCGGCCAACTGCTCTGTCTGTCCCAGCTCACGCCAGGGCCCCTCTCCAACTCCCCTCCCCCTTCTCTCAGGCCCACCTCCTTTCCCCTCCCACAGTTCCCTGCCCCATCTGGGCCACTTTTGTTTCTCCTCACCCCACCCTCTTCCCTCTTCCAAGCCCCTTGCTTTGGCCCCTACCTCCTCAGGCTCTCCACCAGGGCTCTCTTAACAGGTTGGCCATTCCCTCAGCCCTGAGCAGCTACTTCTTCCTTTCTTGTGCCTCTTCAAGCTTGAACTCTTTCAGTCTTCCTCCCCACCATTCTTGTCGCCAACCTCCTCCCCTCACCAGAGTGGTTTATTGCTCCAGCCCCTTTACTGATAGCCTTGCTTTTGTCTTCTCCCCTCCACACCAGAAGTGCCTCCTAGATCTTCACTGCTCTGACAATGTTTCCCTGCTTAAACCTGCAGTGGCTCTCTAATCCTTTTGAGCTGAGGTTAAAATTTGAACCTTGGGCTTGAACTTTTAGTCTGACTCCAGCCTACCCTCAGGACCTTGACCCTTATTGGTTGAGACTCATAGGCTCAAAGTGTGGCCACTCCAGACTTCTCACCATCAGTCCCTGTGCCTTTGCCTGCCCTCTTTCCTGTGGTGATCACCTGTCCATCTTTTCTTGGCCATGAATACCAATGGGCAGGGTCTGTGCTTCTCTTTTCTCTATGCCCAGCATTGTCATAGAGTAGGCCCAATACACACGTTCACTCAGAACAAGTGTGTTCCAAGCAACTACTATGTGCTGTACTTTATGCTGGCTGCAGTATCTGCCCTCAAGTGGTGAACAAACTTTGAATTGCAAAGGTAGTAGGTGTTAGGAAAAGATATTAATTGAATGGGTGAACATATGAAGTATTCAGAGTGCAGTGATACAGCAGGGGACAGCTCGGTCCTCTGTCCCCACTCTTGAGTTAGCAGATAAGCCCTTTGGAAGAGCCCAGTTGGCTTCCTTGATTTGGTTGTGTGGTTGCTGCTCTGTTCATTGTTGTGTCTTGTCTTTGGGGTTTTAGCACCAGGTTGCTTGCATTCAAATTCAGGTTCTGTCACCTGTTAGCTGGTGATGTTGGACAAATTACCTAGTACAGTGATGGGGAACCTTTTAGAGCTTTCAGTGATGCAAACAACCCATTGTGGCATGCATTGCAAAGGTTTGCCACCACAGACCTAGTCTCTTTGAGCCTTGACTTCTTCCTCTGTAAAATAAGGATAGTAATACCATCTACTTCACAAGATTATGGTAAGGATTAAATATACATATCCATTACCAAGAACAATGCCCACAATTATTTGTCAAAAGGAAAAAAAAATCACCAGGCGTGGTGGTACATAGTTGTAATCCTAGCACTTGGGAGGCTGAGGCAGGAGGATCACTATAAGTTCAAGGTCAGCCTGGGCTACATAGTGAATTGAAGACCAGCCTGAACTACATAATGAAATTGTTTCAAAAAACCAAAACAATAACAAAAAAAGGGAAAAAAATCTTTAATCTCAACGGTTTATTTGAGCAATTATAAACAAAACAGAACAAATACAAAACAACAATGATTTGTGAATTGGTCAGTCCCTAGAACCAAAGGAGATTAAGAGAATTCCCACCAATAACATGGATCTGACAGCATTTATAGGAAACAGAAATGTGGCGTAGAGACGTCTTAATTGGTTACAGCTTAATTGGTTACAGAGCCTCTTGTAATTAACTAAAACTCAGATACCGTGGTTATAACCCATATTAGTTTTGTCTGTTAGGCTTAGTGTAGGAGTTTAATCCAAATCAGTGGATTCCAACACATTTTATTTAACATAGTAGTAATTACTTAGTAGAGATTAACCAACACCATTGTCATCATAAACATGCCTGTTCTCATGTGAATGAGTTGTCTTAGGCAACATGATTTTTATCCTTGTCTGTAGAGGAGATAGTTGGCTGCTCCTCAATATTCATCCTTGGTCCTGAGTACTAAGATTCTGATTTTCATCTGGCTCATTGCCCAGCGTCCCTTGTGGCTATATGAGGTCATATGTTTTAATTTTGGTCAATAAGATGCAAACAAGTGTTACAAAAGTAGTCCTTCTTTGTCTTTCCCTCTGTCCTTCTGGATGTGATGGCTGGAGTTCTGGCTGCCATCTTGGACAGTGGAGAAGAGGCCTTGTTGGGCCATGGTGGAGAGTGGGCAGGAGGTGGGTTCTTCTTGGCTTTGTAGGGTGGGTGCAAGGCCAGCCCTGGGCCCTTCTAGGCCTTTTTTATGTGGAAGAGAAAGAAACTTCTATCTAGTTTAAGCCTCTTTTATTTTTCCTGTAACAGCTGAATTTAATCCTAATCTCTTCTTTCAGCAAGTGCCAGCTAATTTTAGCACAAGGCTACAAAAATAAAAATAATAAAAAAAAAATCAGTCATCAAAGTAAATAATGTATTCAAAGTCAAGTATGAGAGAGTTTTGGAGAACATGGTGAAAAACAAATATAGAACCCCCCCCCCAAAAAAAACCCAGAGGATTAAGCTATGAGGTATCATGTTTGTCCTATTAGTTTTGAAAATTTTAAATGATTATGTGTGTGTATGCATAGCAAAGCAGGCACTATGTATTGGCTGGAAGTGGTTAGTTTAACTATTGATTTGGGGAAGGAAATTTGCCAGTCAGTAATCCTTCTTTGAAGAGATTGTGTGAAAGAAATACTCAGGCATAGCGAAAAGGTCACATGCACAGTGAGTAGACATTTCTTGTTGCCTGCCCAGGATGAAAACCTTACAGTTCTGTGGGAGGCACATGACCTCTGTGTAGCCAAAGAAGTACACTGCCCTGGGCTTCATTTGGGGAGCTGATGATTTTAGAAGGAGAAGCAGGAAGAACCCATTCTTGGGGTGGTGGTGATGATCCCAGTGGTCTCTTGGTCCTAGGGTCTCTGACTGGTTTCTTTGGAAATGTGGTGCTAAGCAATTAGGCTTAGACTGCAAAGCCCTAAGTTGATTGTTTTGATAGGGAGATAGGATCTTGCTGAATTGTCCAGCCAGTCTCGAACTTGTGAATTGCCTGCCTCAGCCTCCAGCCTTGGTAACTGACCGTGTGTGTGTGTGTGTGTGTGTGTGTGTGTGTGTGTGTGTGTGTGTAAGATCCCAACTCACATGCATGCAGTTTATTTTATTTTGGTGCTGGGGATTGAACCCAGAGCCTTGTGCATGCTAAGCATGCATTCCATCACTATATTTATAACATAATTTATATCAAGTTTAAATCAAGATTCTTTCATTCCCAGCAGCAGACACTGAGTGACTTTGCTGGCTTTCCTTGGAGTCTGGACTCGGGCTGGGTGGGGGCTGAGGCTGGTCTGCGGCTCTTGGAATCAGGCCCTCGGTGGGACAGCCTGTTGGGTGACATTTCTCCACAAACAGACCTGTGGCTTTGTCAGATTCCGGAAGGAAGAGCACCCACCCCCTTAGCCTTGTGTGGGACATTTTGCACACCCTCTCAACCAGGGATGCAGTCAGACAGCTTTTGTTTGCCTCCTCACATTTCACCATCCCAATCCCTGCCCTGGGAGGCTGGCCTTACCTTCTGGTTTCTGACTGAGTCCAGTCAGTGAGGATCTGCTGCAGGATTTGGAGGGAGGGAGGACAGTGAAGTTGGGATACTCCTTCCTTCCCTTGTTGGGTCCCAGAAGCTGGCCTATTCCTCTGCCAAGGGTCTCAGGTCCTGGTGAGTGACCTCTTTACACAGCACCCAGGCACCATGTGGGAAACTGCTTCCTTCTTTGGCCCCTTCAGGTCTATGGGTTTGGCCTTGTCTATTTCATTGTTCTGGCCACTTAGTAGAGGCTTGTACCTTTTGGTTCTCAGAAAAATTCTCAGTTCTTCTTTGGCTGTTTTTTCCCTTTCATTTTCTCTCCTCTTTCTGATAACTTTATTAGTTTGTTTGTTGGATGTCTTGAATTACCCTTAATTTTTTTCTGTGACATTTTCTATCACTTTGTTTTCATTCTTACTTAAGGAGCACATTCTTAATGTCCAGTACTCCTACTGACTTAAAAATTAGACATCGTGTTGTTTTTATTTTCCAGTTAGTCCTTTTAAAAAGGTTTTATTGGGTTATATTTTACACATAATAAAATTACCTATTGTAAGTATAGAATTCAATAATTACTCCTTTTTAAAAATCTAATTTTAGAGCAATTTTAGGTCTGCAGCAAAATTGAGCAGAAGGTACATATACCCTCTGCCCTGACACATGAAGACTCCCCAACACAATGGTACATTTGTTACAACAAATAGACCTACATGGACTTATTGTTATCACCAAAAGTCCATAGTTTATGTGATAGTTCACACTTGGTGTTGAACATTCCTTGAGTTTGGACAAATGTTGATTGACATGTATCTGCCATCACAGTGATATAGGGAATATAAACATAACTCCCAACCTGCTAGATGTCAGATACACCAAGTTCACGTTCCCCAGCAGTTGAAGAATTCTAAGGAACATCAGAGGTTAAGAGTAGGAAAAT